CGCCCCTCCCCCCTCCGCCAGCCGTGATGCGCCGAGCGAAGCCGAAGTGAGCCGAAGTTAGCCGAGTCCTAGTATCCTAGTCGCTATGCAACGCGAGTCAACAGCGATGACGTCACCAAGGTGCACCGCGGTTGCTAGGCAGCGCGGGTAAACAGGATTGCGAGAGACGACGGCAGTAACAGCGGTTACTACCGCTAGCGTTGCTAGCAACACAGCGCCAGGCAACAAGGGTGCTTATTACGTGGCCGTTTTCTGTATTGTCCGATCGAGGCTACATGAGCAGCCAAGGCTATTCACAGTTAGTCCTCAAGCTACCTCCGAGTTAGTTCCGAGTCAGCCAGCAACCAGTCAGTTGTATTGTGGCATTTGGAGTGTAGTATTTGTGATACTGCAGGTAGCAGTAGTTCTAAAACTGTCAATTGTGTGATTGTAAGTGCGAATGTGAAATAAAATTCGCTATATCAAATACGGCATGAAGTTATTTGTCGCGTTATACGCCCAATACGCGACAATATTATTGTTGAAATGAAGGGTCACGTGGTCCGTTAGCCTCATACATTGCAGTGTCGTGCCGTGACCTGCACGGAAACTGCTTTCGTTAAGCAGGCTTCTTTCTTCAGTGTTCTTCTGGATTATATTCAGGATGAGTTTTTTCGAATAGTTTGCCGGTTGTGGTTATGATGCTAATCGGACCTAAATTTGGGGGGGAATTTTAGGTCCTTACCGGGCTTCGGTAACGTTATGACTTGCTTCCTTCCAGCAATTTGGAAAATGAGACAGCCGAAGGCAGTGATTAAATAAATGTGTACCAATGGCCTTCTTGGAAGGTGCCTCAGGCAATCATTTGGAATGCCATCTATTCCTCAGAGATTTCGTTTACTCATCGGCTAATAGTATCCGTGACAAATAATTACAGGATTACAGATTTAACGGAGCTGTTTTATTGGAGAATTACGCCAGGCGGAACTGCAGACAATTATCACACACGATAAATATAACACTTCGTAACTGCGAACAATGATCACACTCTAATGTTCCTCGTAACTACGCCACGCGAAGGCTTCTGTCGGTTCTCCTCTTGCTGATCACTGATCTGATCTCCGCTCTGGTCTTCTCCAATATCGACGTCTCCCTGTCGAATCTCCTCGAACAGTGTTCACTGCTCCCTATATAGGCTCGGCACGGACCACCCACAGAGAATACATCGCTGCTTAGCAACGGATTTCATGTATTGTCAGGTAACGGATATCATGTATTGTCAGGCAATAGACGCTCTATTGTTGCGCCTTCGTTGCTGTGATATTGTTTACGTATTCGTCTCCTAGAAACGGCCAAATCTGTCACAGTATACATATATATCAGGCGAAGTAGATACCAACATACTTCTGTGAGGCAAGCCAACATACTTGCAAGATGTGTAAGGTTGTGAGAGACTTGAGCTTCTCACGGTTGTGACTATGAAGGTTTTTGGGATCTAACAGTGCAGTCTCGCAGATATTTACCAGCGTTTCGGATGAACCTGCTGCCTGTATCTTCAGGGTAAAGAAAGCCCTGTAGGGGTGATCGCTATGATAGAATCAGATGTTTTTAAGAATGTACTACAGGAGGCCGAATGGGAATTTTCTAGGCCATTTTTGTATATATATATATTTATTTTTTCCAAATAAAAATATAAAAAAGTTGTTAAATATTAACCAGACTGCATCAGTTCACAGCCCAGAGGACGGAATTTTTCTGTGAAGTTATAATCAGATAAATGTCGCCGATTTACAACATGTGTACATCTGGCTTTCCGGCTTCTCTCTGTCTTCATTACAAGGGTGTAAAAACCCATTGTTAGAAGTAATTAACTGAACCAATGCTGATCACAGTTTCCACTCGGTATGAGGCAGGAACAACCCGACACCTTGATCACTGGCATCGTGGGATCGAATCCCACTCTGAGTATGTCCTTCCGTTCCTGTGCTTGTGTTCTTCTGTCTAGGTAGAGGCCTTACGATGGGTCGATCCCTTCATCCAAGGACTTCTACGGCATATCTGAAGGCTTCATTATCTCAGGCATGAATTATTACTCTTAATGAGCCATAGGCCCTAATCCGTAACAGCTAAATATAAAATGAGGAGGCGGAAGAAGGAATAAATGATACACGAAATTAGAATATGGCAATTATCATAAATACCAGGGGCCTATAGATCATATTTTGTTTCGGAACTCACAGTAGTTACGTAAAAAGGTAAAGCTATCCCTGTAACAGGCCGTGGAGGGCCATAGGGTTGTGAGATGTCGAGACTCCGACATCCATTAGACAATCGGCTCACAGTTAGCGGTGAGGTTGTCAACCTTATGCGTCAGCCGCCCCTTACTCCCAGGAAGATTCGTGGCACCAATTTATGTTAGAAGCTAAGTCGACCCCAGGACCACAACGCGGTTGGAAGGATTAGATAAACTGGAAAATCCAATGACTTCATCCGGAATGGAACCCGCGAACTTCCGGCTTGTAGCAGAGTGCCTCAACCTACTACGCTCCTGCGTGCCCCCAGTAGTTAAGATATGAAAAGGAAATAAGCCGGGGGGGGGTGAGACAATATTCGGGCCAATACACAGCATTAAGAATCAAGCGCCAAAGGACACCGATGTGCCCTACATTCCAAACTCCGCAGGACAAACACCCACCCCCACTTTTTTTTTTCAGACACACTCTCTCCTTTCTACTGTTTGCCAAATGACCGAGGGACACCGCCTAGTTTGTTTCCCAAACCGTGAGACGTGACACCCTTCTTTTCCACCCCGTTGGAAACAAAGAAATCCTCACGCTATTATTCTGCTGTCGTACTTCATGACCTAGATCAGTCAAGTGTAACATACTGCTAGTGGCCCACAAACATCTTCAGCTGTAAAGAAAGCAGTCTTCTGGGATTTGGCACCGTGTATATGTGGTGTTAACCGACGTNGTATTAACTATCACACAGTGTACGAGCATTAAAACTGGCATTAAATAGAACAAATTATTTCTCTGGAATATTATACAAACTCCGTGGTTTTAGCCCGCAAGCGAACTATATCGGTAGAGCGACCGCCGTTTGTCGGCGAAGTTAGTGCCAACTTTAGCCGATAGAGGGTGTCGCGTGGTCAGCGCAACGAATCCCCACGGCCTTTAATTTCGTTTCTCTAGACCGGAGCAGCTATTTCTTTGGAATAGCTCCTCAATTATCCTCATGAGACTGAGTGGACCCCGTTCCAGACCCACTACCTCAGGAAATCTGGTAGCGCTGGGAATCGAACCTGGACCTCTGGATCTGTAGCCAGGAGCTCTGACCACTAGACCACAGAGACGGTCGGAATATTATACATAACGTCTAAATAACAATGTTACATTTTGAACATTTAAACTTGAATATTTAGTAATAATTTTTTTGTGCAATTCCTGACTATACGTGAGCTCACATGATTGGTTGGTGAAAATAAAGAACTCAGGGCAACCAATACGTTTCCCTTTGAATGACCTTAAAGGAAATTGATACTTAAATAATGGCTTCAAATTTGTGATATTAAAATGAAGTGAAATGTTTCGTCCTCTAATAAAAGTTGTAGAAATGAACAGACTCTTTGGGAAAACATGAAAGAACGCAGATTCCATTTTACTACGAAAATGTGAACTTTCACGCATTCGTTCTTTATTTTTGCTAGTGCAAAATAATCTTCACTGTTGCAGACATCTATCTAATATCTGCATGATGTGTCATAATTGTCCGCTTGATTGTGTGATTCCGTGAACTAAGAACGTTTAACTAAAATTTAATGAGCTCAAAGCTCATTAAATGTTTTAGTTAAGATTAAAGAAAAATGATGTATTAGAGATGGAAGAGTACAGTTTTATAAAGATGGCAGTAAATGGAATGCTACTTAAAAAAACATGCAAAATTCTTAAGAATATATTCGTAACCCATCGCCTTTAATTGTCCGGTACTAGAACCCAGGAGTTCTACTCGTACATAACTCACGTCAATTCAATTCTCACTATCAGTGTCTGTCCCTTTAGGATTCTTTCCCTCTCTCATTTTCCTATGGGCCTTCCAAGTGCTATTTTTAAAAGAGAGTTTTCACCAGAATTCTGAGTTGCATATCCACTCAGATGTCATATTCTTCGTTAAACTACTATCGAGTATTCTGTTTGGTCCTGTTGCAGGATTTGCGTAAAAGAATTTCAGTATTTTAAAGTTGAATATCTTTTTAATGCCGTGAAACACAATAAGACAACAAATGGCGAATTTCAATTACTGCAAATGTTGTACTTTGGTGTATCAAAGTTTGACATGAGCTTCATTTGTGACTCGCCTGTTTCCAGCGTACTGTTCTGCTGTTGCTATGTATCCTCCAACCCATTAGGCAAATTCCATATGAAAGGGATATTAAAGAGACGTAACTCTAGAGCGTGGAGTTCGAATCCACCTAACGATAGCCCGGAAGGTTACAGAGACTTAATGAGAATACGATGTGCATTCATGAGAATAGTAGTAATATGTTGATCTATCTTCTCAGAAGAATCACTAACCAGTAATGCTCGTCTCAGTATGCTACAACGTCCAACTTTTCTGCAGTTTGAGGTACGTGCGAACACAATATTCCAATAAGATAACTCATTTTCACATTTCTGTAACGCTATACGCATGTTCAGTTTTCGAATAAATGGATGAATAAAGGAATACCTAAGTTCGTATCGAAATAAGACAGTTGCATTGTTGTTTATATGCCACTGTTTGTTTCATTATTATCTGTTACCGAATTTAATAATTATTTTAATCAGCAATATTAGCATTGTTCAGTGGAAGATCTGTACAGACTATTTGATTCAATTTTATAGTGTATAGCAGTAATCTGTCGAATATACAAAATGGTGCTGAAATTGTTACTGTCTTTGTTAGAGGTGAATTAACTTAAATATGGCTGATATGTATATTTGCAGTAATGCATTTTAAGTTCTGTTATGTCTGGATTGCAGACTTACATTGGAGACGTGGTGGTGTCAGTGAACCCTTACAAAAAGTTGGCCCTCTACTCTGGGGAACTGGTGAAGGCTTATCGCTGTAGGGGACCGTATCAACTACCGCCACACATGTGAGTATCATTTCTTTTTCTGGACGCTTTCTTTGCAATTAATTAACGCCTGTTGGCCTCCGCTACCATTCATCTTACGTATATGAACCTTTGGCTTCTGATGAACAGATATCAAACGAATTTAATTTGGGTCAGGAGGCCATCGCGGATACTGTGGCCAACTATATATGAAATCCAAAATAATTTAAGTAAGTATTGAATGAACTTAAATAGATCCATATTGGTTTCATACAGAGAAAATATTTGTTATACTCCATCTGCTATTGGAACGAGGATGTGTCATTATCAGCTAGCATCACTACAAAATAAGTAGATTTAATTTTCACTATACTTGCGGTATTCATACGCCAGTGGTAAATCCATACGTACTATGACGTGAGGGCTGAACGCCTTAAAAGTTCAAAAAGAAAGTTCATTGCTAAGCAACGGCTGGGAAATCAATAAACAATGGAGGAACTGTTGGAAACGATGTTTTCCTTGATCTGTGTTAAGGTTACATAACGAGACCACATGTGGAGGCGGGTTCGAATACTTCCACCGTAGCCCTTCGAGTCGTATGAGGCGACAAAAATGGAACCCCGTGCCTGTGGGTGTAACTAGACCACCTTGTTCCTAGTGGATATAACTATGAGGATCTGAGCTCAAGATTGGTGGAATCTCGAATCTGATACAGTAAAATATGGTCGTGAGTCCCGCGGGACTCGGGCCCGAGAATGACTGCGCTGGCGAATGCCAGCAGCAATTATAAACGACATAGCCATCCTCTCGTTAGAGAGGATGTTACGTAACTACTATAATCGGAAGGGTCCTCAAGGGGCTTGGCGATGAACTATGGTTTGGACGGTTCGATTCCTGGTAAGGGAAAAAGTTTTTTATTCTCTCTGAATGGTCCATATCAGCTCTGGGGCCCACCCAGCCTCTTGCCCACTGCGTACTACGAGCTCTTTCGCCGATCTTCATGTAATATAGAGTTTAAGCATTCGTGGATCTATACCTCTACTCCCCCCACACGTTTTCATGGTCTGGTGCTCAATTAATTAAACAATGCCAGCTTTGCCTTCTTTAATTACCACTATTAGATCTTCTTTGTAAGACGTTTTATCCTCTCGTTTTTAGGTTTATCGGACGACTGTTTGATGGAGTTGATCCCCACCTACAAGAGAATTCCGGTCTCATTTTATTGCTTTTCTCTCGTAATTTCTGTTAACAATTATTATCAATTTTAGCTCTCGCTGATGATATATGACGTCAACAGAAGGTTCTGTGTCGAACCTGTTCTGTTTGTATATTCCTGCGATGACTGTAACACATATGTTCCTTAGAAGTTCTTTCGTTGTTCAGTTATCCAGTTAACTTCTCTGATAATCCCATCCCTTTCTTTACAAGTCTTGATAGTAAAGGACCTGCTATCCCGAACGTTGCATAGTTTAAATATGCATAGAAACTGGGATAGCATAGTTGGTATAGCGACTAGCTACGGGCTGGACGACTGAAGGGTCGTATTTCGAGTCCCGGTACAGTAAAAAATTTTCTCCACGTTGTGCAGACCGGCTCTGAGGGCCACCCAACCTCGATATCGAGGACTCTTTCGCGGGGGAGTAAAGCGACCGGGTCGTGAAGCTGACTACTCATTTACAGCTAATTCCGAGGTAAAAAAAAAATATGAATCTGTACATCAAGCCCCCCCACCAATGATATCTCCGCCTTATCGTGGTGATGGGGTTTGAGAGCTCCTGAGACCCTGAGTGCTATGCCGGCGGTAGCGTAGCTACTGGTAAGGCCACCCATGCTGGACAGGTCAAGGGGTAGGAGCCAGAGAGAGAGGGATACCCTGGTCCTCCAGGTTGGGGGTTGGGCGTGAGGCCAACAATCTCACACCGTAAAAACTAAATTGTTCAGAAATCCAAGGAAAGAGTAGCCGGACGGACCTATTCAAGATGACCTGGAAAATGTTTAAAGGATTTGAGAATTGGATCTTGGAATGTATTATATCTTTACAGAGCCGGAGCACTAAAAATGCTACTTGAACAACTGGATAGCTATAAACTAGATATCACTGCTCTACAAGAACTGAGGTGGTTGGGTAAAGGAGTCATGGAAAAGAAGGATCATGTTGTATTCTATAGTTGTCAGAAGAAGAGTCACATGTTTGGAACAGGTTTTATTGTTAATAAAAAAAGGAAGCATCTTATTTTAGACTTCCAAGCAAAATCTCACAGAACATATAGGCTACGAATTAAGGGAAAGTTTTTTAACTATAGCCTTATTTGTGCACATGCCCCAACTGAAGATAAAAGTGATGATGAGAAAGACTCCTTTTATGATGAATTGGATGACATATATGGTGAATGTCCAAAAAGGGATTGTAAAATAATCACAGGGGACATGAATGCTAAAGTGGGGAATGAGGATGTATATAGATCGGTTATTGGAAAACATAGCCTACATAACAAGTCAAACGATAATGGGATGAGATTAATAAATTTTGCTTCCTCGAGAAACATGGTAGTAGGTAGTACAATGTTTAATCATAAGCATATACATAAACGAACCTGGAAATCCCCTGATGCAAATATGTTTAATCAAATTGATCACATCCTAATAGATGTAAGACATTGTTCAGATTTGATGGATGTCAGGAGCTACAGGAGAGCCAAAATTGACTCTGATCATTACTTAATAATATCAAAGATTAGAAGTCGAATATCTAATACAAGGAAGATACATGGATCCCAGGCTAAGAATTTGAATTGTGGAAAATTGGTGGAACAAGGACTTGCAACCAGATATACTGGATTAATTGGTGAATGCCTGGCAGGTCTCTCTGATAGTGAGGATGTCAGTGAAGCTTGGAGGGGCCTCAGAGATGTTATTATAAATGTTGCTGGTGCAGTCTTAGGAAGAATGGAAAGGATAAAGTATAAGAATTGGTTTGATGGAGAGTGTGAGCAAGTGACAAATAAAAGAAAACCAGGCATATAAGAGAATGCAGCAAAGGAACCATACTCGAGGGGCCGTGGAAGAATACCGTGAAGCGAGAAGAAAAGGAACAAGATTGCATGTAAAGAAGAGAAGGGAATATGGTGAACAAGAACTAATTGAATTGGAGCGTTTAAGAAGTTCAAACGAAATTAGAGCGTTTTATCAAAAACTAAACAAGGGTCGAAAGGACTTTCAACCTAGTACAACCTTATGTAGAGCTAAAGAAGGCACTATGTAGCGATGAAGCAATATTGGAAAGATGGGCGCAATATTTTGAGGAATTATTAAATAGTNGAAAAGGAACAAGATTGCATGTAAAGAAGAGAAGGGAATATGGTGAACAAGAACTAATTGAATTGGAGCGTTTAAGAAGTTCAAACGAAATTAGAGCGTTTTATCAAAAACTAAACAAGGGTCGAAAGGACTTTCAACCTAGTACAACCTTATGTAGAGCTAAAGAAGGCACTATGTAGCGATGAAGCAATATTGGAAAGATGGGCGCAATATTTTGAGGAATTATTAAATAGTAACGCCTCTGAACAAGTGGAAGGTATGACCATAGACCGGAATCAAGGAAATTTTGAGGCTGAAGAGCCAGCGCCGACCATAAAAGAAGTAGAACAAGCTATCAAAAAATTGAAAAATAATAAAGCTCCAGGAATGGATCTAATCACGGCAGAATTAGTGAAATTTGCAGGCCCAGAATATGCCAAGCACTTACATCAGCTAATAGTTAAGATATGGATAACTGAAATAATCCCAGAGGAATGGAGCCTAAGTATTGTATGCCCTATCCATAGGAAAGGCGATGTCATGGTATGCTCTAATTATAGAGGAATTAGTCTGTTGTGCATAGCATATAAAATATTTTCCAACATTCTGTTTAACAGACTCTCTCCCTTTGTGGAAGGCATAATTGGGGATTACCAATGTGGGTTTCGTCACGGAAGATCAACTAACAATCAGATTTTCACTATTCGCCAGGTCCTTGAAAAGTGTAATGAATTCCAAATTGAAACACATCATCTTTTCATTGACTTCTGATCAGCCTATGACTCCATAGATAGAGATATTGTAGTCTTTTTCTGGCAGTGGAAGAGATGCACATTCCACGGAAGTTAATCGCCTTAGTCAGAGCCACTACTAGAAAGACCCAATGCCAAATTAAGATTCAGAATATGTTGTCCAGCCCTATAATAACTAGAAATGGAGTTCGACAAGGGGATTCCCTAGCCTGCCTTTTGTTCAATATAGCATTAGAGAAGGTAGTTAGAGATGCAGGCATCAACACAAGGGGAACTATATTCTATAAGTCAGTTCAAATTTTGGCATTTGCAGATGATATTGATATTGTATAATTGGTAGAATACAAAAATGTATGAAAGAAGCTTTTCTTAAATTGGAAAGAGCAGCAAAAAAGATGAATCTACAAATTAACCAGAATAAAACAAAGTACATGCCGGTAACCAAGAAAGACTGTGCTAATGGACCTGCATATATTGAAATTGGCTCATATGAATTTGTGGTTGTATGTAATTTTACTTACTTTGGATCAGAAGTTGACTATAAAAATGACATCAGTGATGAACTAAAAAATCGTGTACTTGCGGCAAATAAATGTCTCCATGGCCTTAGGAAACACCTGAAATTCCAACTAACACCCAGGAAACACACAACTATGATGTATAAAAGTACTTATAAGATCAGTGCTATCTTATGCATCTGAGACCTGGCCACTGTCAAGATCGGATGAAAGACTGTTAAGTATATTTGAAGGGAGGATCCTGAGATATATCTTTGGACCAGTGGAAGAAAATGGAATATGGAGGAAGAGGTATAACCATGAGCTATACAAACTATTTAATGAACCAGACATTATTGGATTTATAAAGGTGAAATGGCTTGAATGGGCTGGACGTGCCAGCGAGAATAGAACGATTAAGAAAATACATAATACTAAACTAGAATGAAATAGGGAAGTGGGAAGACCAAGATTGAGATGGGAAGAATGTGCGTGG